AGGGGGCAGGGGAGGCAGCAGAGGCAAAAGAAGAAGAAGAAAATTGAATATTTTAATCCAAGAGACATGGAGAACTGGGGTGAAGAAAATTAGGATAGTCAAAAGGAGGAGGATTTTTAACTAGGAGGATAAAGTCAATGTTGATATACTGACTCTAAGAAACTAGTATATTTAGTTGAAGATTTAAATAAGGATATTGTAGATATAGGACTGGAGTTCGGGAGTGATATCAGGACTAGAGACACAGACATGTGAGTTATCAGTAGTGAAATAATTGAAGTCATGCAACTCTGAAAAGCAATGTCAAATCATGGGAAGAGTATAAATGTGGAGTTTGACAGACATATTCACATCCTATCTCTACCATTTACTTGTTGTATGACCTGGATAAATTGCTTAATCCATCTTCTCATATACGAAAAGGCGAAAAATAATATTATCCCTCAGTAAGGATTACATAAATTGAATATTTAAAATACCTATCATCTAGTTTGGCTGGTGTGGCTCAGTGGATTGAGCATTCTCCCATGGACTGAGAAGTCCCAGTTTGATTCCTGGTCAGGGCACATGCCCAGGGTCGCAGGCTCGATCCCCACTAGGGGGTGTACAGGAGGCAGCTGATCAATGTTTCTCTCTCTCCCTTCCTCTCTCTCTAAAAAAATAAATAAAAACATATTTTAAAATAAGTAAATAAAATACCTATCATCTTTAGATTTGCTTTCATATTTTAGTGACATAATACTATATTTTTAGTCATTATCTTAAAAACATGTAACACATTTTTTTATAAATTATTTTTTCTTTGATTCTATTTCATTAAAAACATGTTGATTCTGAGCCTTTAAGCTGATTTCAGGACCTATGAACGAGCTGCAACCCACCCTTTGGAAAACACTGGCCTCAATCAACATCCTATACTCAAATCACACTATTACTACTCACTGTTCCCTCAACTGTCATTTTTTTTTTTAATTTTTTTTTTTTTATCCTCATCCGAGGACACTTTTCCATTTTTTTTTTTTTTTTGTACAGACAGAGTGGGAGGGAAAGAGAGGAACAGAGAGAGAGAGAGAGAGAAACATCGATGTGAAAGAAACACATCGAGTGGCTGCCACCCGCACAACCAGGGCCGGGGACAAACTGCAACCGAAGTACGTGCCCTTAGCGGGAACCGAACCCGGGTCTCTCAGGACCGCAGGCCGACGCTCTAACCGCTGAGCCAAACTGGCCAGGGCTCAACTGTCATTTTTATTACTCCCTCTGCTTGTTAATACCATATTACTCCTTGATGGTCCAGAAGAAATAATAACCATTCACTTTCTCTACTCTACCCATGTAACACTTTGTCTATAAAAAGATTTATCTATTGCTCAAATAGATTATAAACTTCTTGATGACAGGAAACAGGTGTTATTTACCTATGAATCCTAGAGAAATGCTTTGTTCATAAGAAGTACAGAATAAATTTTAATTCATTATTATAGAGAAAAAAGAGAAGAAGGTCTGAGGAGAGAATCTTGTTGAGTCCCGACCTTCAGGGCCCTGCTCTGGCACCCTCAGTCTCCTTCATCTCTGTGTGCCAAAGCCCATGGACATTTTTAAAAATATGTCAATTTTTTTATTGACTTTTTAGAGAGAGGTGAAGGGAGAGATAGAAACATCGATTGGCTGCGTCCTGCACCCCCTCACTGAGGATTGAGCCCGAAATCCAGGCATGTGCCCTGACTGGGAATCGAACTGGGACCTCTCATTCCATTGGATGATGCTCGATCCACTGAGCCACACTGGCTGGGCCCATGGGCATTTTAAGGCAGAACATTGTGTCTCCTCATTTGGGACACAAAGACTTAGGCCACTAATTTTTTGGACACAGTGACTTGAGCTCGTTCGTGTTGGGGGATGAAAAAGTCTGGAGGAGATAAAATATATCTGAGGAAGAAACTAAGATGTACCTAGGACTTAGCTCTGGGAAAACAATAGAAACATTCCTACAGTGGTCTCTTTGGACTGCTAAATGACAGAATCCAATAAAGGAAACCTGAAATAAATTACCAAAGCAAGTATTTCATTTTAAATTATTAAAGTTTATTTCATTTTTTCAAGCCCTAAAAATCCTTTTTCTGATGGAAACGACCCCTGGCAACAGTGACATTCTGACAACAGGTGTGATGCACACTCTTGCAAAGTCTGAATTCCATGTCACAATGGCTCTGTTCTGAGGACTGGTTTCCTCATGCTTCCTACTGAAGTTTCTAATGGTCTTCAGTCCACTTTGTGAATCATCATCAAGAATATTAAGTCAACTAAATAAATTTTCCTCTACGTGACTTGTTGCACAACCCAAAGCATGGTATCAAAATGTACAGGAAAAAAAGACTCCTTTATATTTGAATTTTGGACTACATGGTGGAGAGAGATACAGTGCAATTGATTTCATAAAATAAGCCAAAGACAATTTGTTTCTGAGGAAACACTGTTCTGTCCCTGAGTGTAAAGGAAGCATCAAAGCCTAAGAGCCTAAATTTGGGTCTACTCTCGGGCCTACATGGCTAAGGATGATCTACACGGGTAGTCAGCACGTATGGGTCACCTGAATGCCCTACACTGGGCCTCAGTTTACTTATCTTAAAATGAAATGACTAAACTTTTATTTCTTATATCCATTCTACCTGTGATGTTTGATGATGCACTGCTCTTAAATCCCTCTCACCTCAATTTTTTAATCTTAAAAAATGTGAAATATGTTTATAAAGTGCTTTGATAGCCTTCAGTGTTATTCAACATGATAACAGTACTATTCACTAAACCTGAATTTTGTCATTTTAGTTCTGCCTCAGAGGCTAACTTTTATGAGAGCCTTAATTTGCATCACCAGAAGCTAATTTAATAAAAATAAAGGAACCCCTTTTGGAAATAAATTAAAATTGGTTGGGGAGGGCAGAGAACCACATGCAACAAAACAAAAAAGAAAAAATCAACCCAGGGCTCTAAACTTAGAAGAGGTCCAATGGTTCGAAGTTCTAAAGAATGGTGTGGTCTTATGAGTTCTTACAACCTGATCCTGGCTTTTTATGCAATGAAAGTAGACGTTTCTAATGGCACCTTCCTAAATCCCTGGTCTCTTGACCCCATACCTATTGTACCATTTGCCCTATTTCCTTGAAGCACAATGCACTGCATGGCAATTAGACAAACAGGTGCAGAGCATCATCCATCCTGATTCAAGGAGATTTATCTTTGGAGACAACTCCAGTGTATGGGATGCAAGACACCCGGTTTAGAAAACTACTGAACACCATTTCACAGACAAACAATATGGTATAAATGAGCATAGTCAAAGAGGAAAGACAGGGAGACAGGTGCCTAATATGATATGATGAACAGTAGATTTATCTTTGACAAAATCCTTTATAATTACTTCCTGTGAAAAACTTTACTCAACCCCTCTTCACAATAAATATTTTCTGACAGAATAAATCTTAAAGTTCAGACTTTTAATAAATTTTATAATTGTACAAATAACAGCAGCTATATCTTCACTACTATTATTATGTCCAGCACTGGGATTACAAAAATAAGTAAGACATAGACTCTACTTTTAGAGACCTTACCATCTATGGAGTTGAACTGTTGTAGTTAGGACAGTAATAATAATAATAACCATCATCTGTCCACTCACACCAGCTAGGCACTAAGCTCGGTGGGTAACGTGCACAACTGCCCAAGTTCCCCTGGGTACCCCGACAGCGAGGTAATCTTGCTCTGACCATGCATCATCTCTCAAAAATAACAAATAAATAAATAAATAAACAAGGACCTAGCAGGAATTCAAACAATAGGCAGATATATTTAAGAACCTGAAGTCTGTCTACAGTCAACACACAAGAATTATAGTGAAGCAAAAGTGAAAACAGAATAAATCGTGTGAATCACCTTCATGTACTCTGTTGGACAGGCACTGTGACACCCTGAAATCCACGATGCAGTATACCCCACATCTGGCATCCCAACAATGACTCAAACAGATGAATGTTATTTAAGAGTTTTAAAATTTTCTAGCAAGAGACCTTGCGAAACTTAGGAAGACATCATAACCTTCTGGATATCATTAGCAAAATGTACATTTTGATCTACAATTAACACAAAACAAAACACAGATTGACTTTCCTTACAGTATTTCACAACCTTTAAGTGCAGCATTAAAATGCTTTTCTTTTTTCCCCTCACCAATGATAAGCTTCTGTTTTCTTATCCTGGGCTTCTGAATCTTTTATATGCTCGGGTTCTATTCACTGCCTGTTATTCAGACATTGAAATCCCAAATGTTAATTGTTCTTCCAAGTACATTGACAAAACAGCAGCTAAATAAGGGTAGACCAGACTGTGGTAGACTCTGACATGCATTTATGGAACAATGGGGCTCTGAGAGACAGCCTTGTAGCTCACGGGAAGACATAAGATGTGCTATTTTGACTGCTTGATAGCAGAATGGGGAACACACGCGCACAAGGGAATTATGCATTTTACTTAGTTTTTCCCAAAGTTCTTAAGGCAACAGAATCTTGTGATGTCATCATAAACTTTCTCTCCATTTCCATTGACACAAAGGGTAAACATGTCTAATGACATCACAAAGAAAAAAAGAATTTACTTTGATTCCATAAGAAATCTGTTACTCTCAAGGAGACTTGTACAAAAACATAAGACTCCTTCCTGACAGGGTGTGTGTCACTGTGCTTATGCACAGTGGGTGACACCCTCCCTAATGCGATGCAAACCAGCCGAAAGAAAGTACTCACAATTTAGGTTGGATAAAAAAGGCATACTGTTATTGAGCCCAACAAATTTTCTTTTTTTAAAGAAGAAAATAATTTAAACATGTATTTCTTCAGGGGCATTCGAATGTTTACTCGTGTCTGGCACTACCTTGCCAATATTTTCATCCTTTATTAAGTTGGTCACCAAAACACACAGGAAGGTTACAGGAAGCTTTCACTTACAGGAATGCAGTGCAGTTCAGTCTTTTGTTTTTAAGGTGCAGTGATTTCAGTCTCTAAATGTAACTTCAGGCAGTCTGAAAAGAAACAGGTTAAAATCTCTTTCAGTTATAATTGGTATTTCAGATTTAATTAAAAATTAAACTTTCATAATGTTTCACCATCCAAAGCAATGCATTATCAGTCAAGCGTGGCTTTTTTTTTTCCTGTAAAGAAAAAAAAAGAAAAAACTCTCTTCCCAGAGTAGTTTTTTAATGAAAAGAAAAGGATCTAAAAAGGGGGAAGAAAAGCAATTCTGAAAAACAAAATATGCCTCCATGTTAAGGACTTCATAATGATATGACTAGAAGCTCAGTGCCTCTGAATTTTAGCAATATTCTATCTAATTTTTTAAAAACTCCTAAACAATTTCATAGCCTAAAGATTACATAAAATGTCAGTTTCAGGTCATAAAGAATAAAAGCTACGATCACATGTTAAAGGGAAATTGTGACTTTAAATAGAATTGGAAAAAAAATGTTAGATCCACTACTTTCGAATAAGTGAATTGGTGGTGGGGTAGACGGTGAAGTAGAGGTGAACGGATGTATTTAGCAATGTGAAAAGCCCACTGCAGTGCATTGTGGGTTTAGCATGCCCCTACCACATCATATTGTATATTCTGTCACACACAGCCACTGCTCTTTGGAGCAGCACCGTAAGACCATCAGGGTTTGAACCAGACCCCGTGTTTAAATAACTGTAATCACATTCTTAATATGTTCTGTTAATCTTCAAATAAAGGGTCCAAGCATTAAAATCTCCAAGTATGTCATAAATATTTGGGCATTAAACATCATCCTATTTTTTTTTCAATCCTTTCTGCATACAACACCCTCTGTAAAAAAGATAATAGTTAAAAAAAAAAAAAGACTGAATTAAGTCATCCCTATTTTTAGCTTCACATAACTGACATGACATGATTTAGAAAAATATAGTTTTTAAAATGTAAAATGGAGACAATACAATTACCTTTCTTTTACTTTACAGCATGGCAGTGCATTTTTTATATACTTGTAAAACTAAAGTGGTATGTTTATGTCCACCTTCACATTAGTGCAAGGTAATATATTAATATCTCCACAAATGAGAGCATGATCATAAATCACCCCCTGAAATTGCATCTATTATTAGAAAATGCATCTAGTTTTCACTTGTAAATTCTGTTTTCTTTTTCCCTTGAAGCATATGGAGGAATATTTTGAGTATTGTGTCTATTTGATGTATATAGATTCAAAATGCAAATTGGTTTAGATTCACTAAATCTATCCATGAATGAATAAAAAAAAAAAAAAAAAAAAAAAACCCACTGACATTGACTAAACTTTCCCTGTTTCTCTCATGCCTGAATTAAACTAAAAATGTACCACTGTAAAGACAGAAATTATGGAGGTGTCACCAGGGACAACTGAATGAAAGGAGGGGAATGCGTCTATTTCCTTATAAGGCAACACAACATTCATAAAAGAAAGTGACAAAAATAACTCAGGCTCAGAAATTACATGGAATAACAATAATCCCCAATAACTGATTCAGAAAGATAAAAACTGCCCACATATACGTAAATCTGCATCACCAATTGGTATTATTCCACTCATAGCTCAAATATGGTTAGTGAAACTGATTCACTGTCTAGTTCAGACAAGAAAAGGTGATGGAAACCAGACTGCATATTTATATATAAGCGATTTTACTGACAACTAGCAGTTCAATTTAATCAGTCAGATTTCCTTTTTCTTAAATCACCAGATGTGGAGTGAACTGAACTATCAGTTCAAAATAAGAAAGCCATTTCTATGAATAGAGCATCTAAGTTACATTCTCTACCTCTCCTCACCGCATTCCTCCTCTCCTCTGACCTTTCTTTTCACTTCTCAGTTTCAGCCTTTCTTCCTTACTTTCACTTTCTTCCTTATTTATTTTTCCCTCTCTCTTTTTTTTTTTCCCCTTGGTGAGGGTAATGAAGCTCAAAAATAACATCTTGTATCCTGTTGAGGGAAACTTGGTCACAACTATCCTTCCAGATGACAAACTCATTCTTAAATGTCTGTTTCCCAATCCAAAGAAAACAGAGCAATTGAAAAAATAGAGACACAACATCACTTACCACTACCAACACCACCACTTTTAATCCCCATGTTACGTTCATCACAAGGAGGACTGAAGTTTATTTACATTATCCCCTAACCTCAAATAGGACCACAAATAAGACTAATAACAGGACCATTTTGTGGCACTCAGGCAAACGGCTGGGCAAAACAGATGGATCTTACTTTGCGCCAGGACTCAAAAAATACAGTCGCCAACTCACTGTTGGCGACTACGTATCTTGGCCCAAAGATGGACCTGGAAGTGAGACCAGTTGTCTTTGAATGCTGTTCCTATTCATATCTGCCTCATGAGAAAATCATTAACTCTGTCACTATGTATGGGGTTAAGTACTGGGTAGAAACTGTTTGGAAGAATAGTCATTAAAGAAATGAAATACTCTGAAGGCATGTCAGATTAGATTAAGGAGCAGAAAGTTAGAACTAGAACCTTATTTTTGGCACTATTGTCTACTTGTAAACTTCCTGTTTGTTTGTTTTTCAAGTTCAGTACTGTTCTCTGAGCCCATTTTTAAAATAGATTTCCAGAGTATGTGTCATCCATAAGAATAACTTGCTCCTAATATTTCAGGTTCCAAAATATGTTCAAACTTTTTCAAGTCACCCAGATCAATCTAAGTCATTATAATATTGACCAGCAATGTCAGACTTCCTTAATTAGGACCAAACTATGTAAGGCTTTGTAGATAACAGTCAAAGTGATGCACTGGGATACAGCTCAATAATCAATGCAAATAACAAAGCCCAGAAGAATGCTTCTCTTGGCAGAGACCCGTTAGCAAAAGAATTGTATATTCTGCACTAAAGATTCTGAATGTCTTTCTTGAGACGTAACAAATGCATTACATTATAATAACCTATCCTGTAAGTCACGTGGCCAAAAAAATAGCCCCCAAACAATAAAAAAATGAAGAGGGGTAAGGAATATAGACCTCAACATTTACTGGGAACAAAGGGCTGCTCTCACCACACTGTACTTTGTAAAAATCCTCATATAGATAAGAGGTCTATCCTAGTTCAGGCACTTCCCTTAATGCTCTCCCATCTATTCACAATCTATTGTATATTGCTCAGATTGTTTTTGAGAGTTCATTCACCTCTCTGATTTATTCATTCTGACATTGTTCAGATTTGATTTTTTTTAAATTCTCACCCAAGAATATGTTTTTATTTTTAGAGAGAGAAGAAGAGATGAAGAGAGAGAGAGAGAGAGAGAAATATTGATGTGAGAAAGAAACATGGGTTGGTTGCCTCCCATATGCGCCCCAACTGGAGATTGAACCCACAACCTAGAAATGTGTCCTGACCAGGAATTGAACCAGCAAGATTTTGGCTTAAGGAAGAACATTTCAACCAACTAAGCCACTGGGCCAGGGCAGATTTGATTTTTAAGAGATAATACCTTTACTGTGGTCAGCATAGAAAGTAAATTATAATATTTTAATTATTTCTCGTTTTTTTTCCAATTAAAATGTTATGAAAACAACTCAAACAGATGCAAGAATAGACAGCATAGTAAAATGAATTCCCATGCACTCATCACCCACAGTCAATGCCAACAGAGCAAAAAATGTAAAAGTTAATTTTTTGAACTTACAAATTATATTCCATTGATCAGTATGCCAGAACTATATTCTCTTCTTTACTATAGTTTTGGAGTAAGTTTCAAAATCAGAAATGTAAGTCATCTAACTTTTTCCTCCTTTTCAAAATCATCTTACTGTTCTGGGTCCTTTGTATTCTCATAAATTTTAAGATCAGCCTGTCTATTTCTACAAAAATGCCATTATTCTTTTGATGCTATAGTAAATAGATTTGTTTTTATTTTATTTTATTGTTTGTTGTTAGTATATATAAATACAATTGATATTGTATAATGCTCTTGTATCCAATGAACTTACTGAACTCATTTATTAGTTTCTGTGTGTGTGTGTGTTTAAATGTATGTGTGAATGTTTTCCTTAAGATTTTCTACATACTTGTTATATTTTCTGCAAATAAAAAGTTTTATTTTTTTACTTTTCTTCAATCTGGATGCCTTTAATTTCTTTGTGTGTGTGTGTGCGCGCGCTCTATGGTTTCCCCTTTCCTTTCATTTTCTTTTTCTTTATTTCTCTTTCTATCTTCTGAACATAAACTCCAGTACAATGTTGAATAGAAGAGATGAAATATACAACCCTGCCTTGCTCCTATCCTTAGAGTTAAACCAGTTAGTCTTTCATCATTAAGTATGATGTTAGTTGTAGGTTTTTCATGGGTTTATCAGGTTGCAGAAGTTCTCTTCTATTCTTTGTTGAAAGTTACTGCCACAAATACATATTGGATTTGCACAAATGTTTTTTGTATCTCTATTGAGATAGTCATGTTGTTCCCTCATTTATTCTACTAATATGGTACATTATATTAATTAATGAATGTTAAACCAATTTTGCATTCCTGGGCTAAATCCTACTTGTCTGGGTGTATAATAATTTCATAGATTGTTGTATTTGGTTTGTAAATATTTTGTTGAGGATTTTGTTGTCTATATTCATGAGGGATATTTTTTTTCTTAGATGTCTTCATCTGGCTTTGGTCTCGGGGTAACACTGTTATCATACAATGAATTAAAAAATGTTCCCTCTTCTATTTTTGGAAGAGTTTGTGAAAGATCTGTATTATTTATTCTATAAATATTGGATTAGAAGCAGTGAAGCCATCTGCATCCAAAGTGTTCTTCATGGGGTGACTTAATTTTATCTCTACTGTTGAATTGAAGGTCTACTCAGATTTTCTACTTCTTCTTGAATCCGTTTTGGTAATTTGTACATTTCTAGAAGTAAGACCAATTTATGTAAGTTGTCCAATTTCTTAGAATATATTTGTTCATTGCATTACTTTTAATATTTTAATTTGTAAGGAGTTTAATTTAATTTCTGGTTTTGGTAATC